ATATATATATATATATATATATTACGTACATTACATAATAACCTACATTTGATTTGATATTTAACAACTCTTTCAGAGCTTATGCTTACCACGCAACTCTTTAAATTAAGCTGTCGCAAATTATCTTCATGATTGAAGTGCTGTTTAGTAATATTAAGTTAGTGCTCCTTTGTACCACAGTGAAAGTCGTGGAGAGAATTTTTGACCTTGGGCGAAAAAGATGCAGAAGCTGCTGGATCCACAGGATGGACATCATGGCCGAGGTGTTTGACATGCAATGACTGAAAACCTCCTGAATGAGGATGATTGTAAACGTAGATTACACAAGTCCTACACCTTTTTAACTCCACTGCAATGTTCATTTACAACACATGGACATTCTGTATTATGGTTACGTTTTTCAGTACTCATTACAGATAAAACCAAAAAAAATACATAAATAAAAATACTGGACTTTTTGGAGTTTTAAAAAAAGTCCTGTGGTTTTGTTTTTATCTGTTTTGGGGGGATTTGCCGTGTCAAGGATAACTGAGAATCTTCACCAGCATTGTTACAGGTAAAAAACAATTACTTCACTTATCTACACTATTGACGTAAAAAAACACTGTAAGCACTTCACTTTTGATGATCAGATGGAAGCTCAAGACTTGAAAATGTTTCTTTTATTAGAAATAAAGACCTGTACAAAAAAAAAACAATTATACACTAATTATATATGCAACCTTAACAAGCTACGTTTGGCTATTTGTGGGCTTACCTTGCAGGATCTACATTTCTATAGATCAACTATGATCTACTCTAAATATTTTTAAACATGTCTGTTTGCCATGGAACGGGCAATGGATTCCAGCACCCCAAGGAGTGCCTGACTGAAAGCAGCACTCTGTTCAGCCTCCTGCCTTCGCTGTGCTGCTTCCTCTCTGCGAACATCTGCTTCCTCTCTCCTCAAGGCCATCTCCTCCCTCCTAATAGACTATATGCCACGGACTTCCGTTCTAGCACTTCCGCATTTTTCAGAAGGGCTGCGCACTTCCTGTTTGCTGTCAACACAGTGTTAGTGATGGCGTTTTTCACTCGATCACTGCAGGACTTGCCAACAATATCTGTTAATGATGTCTACAGAATTATTCAGACTTTCTCGAAAGCGCCCACATCTAAAAAGGACAAAGGATTCAAGCTTTATGTGTCCAACTACATAAATAAGTACGAAGGTAAGTCGGTATTTTTTTTTCAGTTCACTTAACTGCCTCATGCAGGCTACATATAACACAGCTAACGTAGCTAACCTTGCTAAATTGTTGAGTAAACATGTGTTGTCTGTACAATGTTTCTGATTAACCCAAATATTAGTTTCAAACAAGGAGGCAGGAGAAGTCACAGTTAGGGCTGAGTGTTTCCAGTCAATGAGGAAAAGCCAGAAGCCCCACTGTTTGAGTGTAAGTCAAAACCACCCGACATGTTCTCTACAGGGCTGTGTTTTAAGAAGCTAGTAGGACTTTGATAATTACGGTTGTCTTTTTATAATAGCATTTACAGTTGGTACATTTTGGTCTCTGAAATATTTGGTATTGTACACAGATGGTGCTGAGGGAATCAAAGCCGGTGGAGTTTCAGGGATGTCAGTGCACCTGTGTGGCAGGTACAGTCCTGTGCAGCCATGTGGCAGCTCTGCTTTTCCAGACGGCTCACTACTCCCAGTTGAAGCTTCCAGCTGTTCCTCCAGTCCTAAGCTGCACAGACACCGAACAAAAGTGGCATAAACCGAGGACAATGGTAACTACATATTGATGACTCTTTATTCCTGCTTATGAATTATAGTTCAATACTGTATTTACATCAATGTTGTTTTTGGATGCAGGGCATAAAACCTGGTCCAGTTAAGGATGTAGATGAACAGATGCTCAGATATATTCATCATTTAACACGGATTCCTCATTTTTCTGGACTGAATAAAACGTGCATTGAATTTAAGGAAATGCAAACGTGAGACGTCATTTATATTTGACCCATCAAAATGAATGCGGTCATTTATTTACAGAATCAAAATTTAACATCAAACATTTACATTAATTTGGCAAATTATGAAAATAACAACATAAGCAATCAATCAGGAAAAATCATACGGCCATGATTTTTCCGTTGCTTCACCACAG